GGTTGAGGGAGCCTCAACTGGGGAATTGCCTTCATTGGATTGGCCTGTGGCCACATCCATGGGGAACCTTCTTGATTGTTGAGTGATGTAGGAGGGCACAGCCCACTGTGGGTGGTGCCACCCCTGGGCAGGTGGGCCTGTGTTGCATAAGAAAGCAGGCTGAGTAGGGGCCAGAGGAGCAAGCCAGTAAGCAGTGTTCCTCTATGGCCTGTTTTCCCTGCAAGTTGGTATTGGTCAGAGTGTTTTGTCACAGCAATGGAGAAACAAAGACACACTCTATGGGAGAAAACCCACATTCAGACCTCTAGGACAATGCTGAAAGCCCAGTGGTCCTTAAGCAACACAAGTGGCAGCTATTTGAGCCTGGACTGATTAACAACAGGTATTTCAGGGGCTCTGTGACTAACAACAAGGTGAAATGTGCTGTTCAGTGATGTCTATACCTCTTATCAGCTAAATTTAGAGACAACACACTGATACCTTAAAAAATAGCCTTTGTACATGGTTTTGGGTCAGAACCACATACAAAGGAAAGGGAGTGGGCCCTTACTTTGGCCCATCTGTGTGTAAGAATTATAGATCACTGACATTCTAATGAGATGTGATTTCTCTGGCACCCTGTTCAGATGTGTTGTGTAAGATGGATGGGATTTTTCATTTTGCTAATAAAGAACATGAAGTTGGGGGTAGATGGGGATGGGGAAGGGATCTGAACTGGACCAAAATACATTGCATACAATTCTTGAATCAATAAATTTAAAATGGCTGCTCTTGCCAAGGACCCAGGTTTGATTCCCAGCGCCCACAATGACAGCTAACAGTCATTCATAACTCCAGTTCCAAGGGAATCTGACACCCTCTTCTGACCTCCATGGGCACTGCGTGACATGAGTATATTTGCATACATACAGGCAATATACTCATACACATAAAATTTTTTTTTTAAAAAATGAAAAATCAATCTTACGCCAGGCATGGTGGCATATGCCTTTAATCCCAGAATGCAGGAGGCAGAGGCCAGCGGATCTCTGTGTGTTCAAGGCCAGCCTGGTCTACATATTGAGTTCCAGGCCAGCTGGGGCTACAGGGACCCCCTGTCTCAAAAAGACCCCCCCCCAAAAAAATCAATCTTGATGGAAGGATTTATATATATCACTGAAAATAGAAATAAGGTTTTGTTTATTGTTAGTTTTCTTTTTCTTTTTTTTTATCAGAGAGAGTTGGTTGTGAAGTATTTTCACTACCTGCTGATTACATATTCCAATCTTTGTGGTCAATAATCCTAGCTAGGGCTGGAGAGATGGCTCAGCAGTTAAGAGCACTGACTACTCTTGCAGAGGACCCAGGTTCAATTCCCAGTACCCACAAGGCAGCTAACAACCATCGGTAACTCTAGTTTCGGGGGATCTGATGCCCTCTTCTGGTCTCCATAGGCACTGCACAAATGGGCATGCTTACATAAATGCAGGCATAACGCTCATACACATAAAAATAAAATAAATAAAAGTAAATAATAATCCTAGCTAGGAAGACTGTTTCAAAGGGCTTGTATGATCCATGCATCACTCTTCTGAGCTCTGTGTTCACATGAATATCTATCTCCTAACACCACAAACAAATGAACTGGATTGTCTCTCAAAGTCCTGGTAGCATCATGTTTACTAGCCACAAATTTGGAAACCAACCTCATAGCTCTTTCACTAGAGTCCATCTTGTCTTAGTCCCTTGAGACCTCTTCAATCAAATCCCCTCTCCAACCCAACTTTTGAAGTCCTAGTTGTCCCTGTCCTCCATCGTTCACACTAGTGAACAAAGCAGGAAGGACCTACCACCCTCTTGCCTAGAAGTCTGCAGTTACTCAGTATGGACTTCAGGATCAAGGACAAATTAAGCTGAAAAGGCCTGCTAGCTTCTGACTGCAGTCTGCCTTCTGCCTCTGATTCTCTACTCACCGTGCCCAGCCCCAGCTTTTTCTTCTGCATGCCTCCAGCTTTGTACCCTGTAGAACACTTCTGTTCTAAATGGCCTTCACAGTCCAGCTTCTCCTCTACCATAGAGCCTTCTGAGTATCTTTGATGTTTACATTCCTAGTGCCTAGTTTACAGCCTCCATTAAGATGCTTCTCTGATTTGCAAAGTACTAGTTCTGTTGGCCTGAGCAGGTTGTTGGAAAGACTGAGTGACACATGTATTCAAAGCACTGTATCTACAGGGCATGGCACAGAATACTGGCTTAACTGCCCTGGCAGAGACCTCTAACTGAAGAGAAGAGCCATGCCTGCATCATAAGTTTATTATATATTCTCCTCCCTGAAGACTAGCTCTTACAGTTCTAAAAGGATACTATGCAAGATGCTAAGGGAGAAATAAATCAATGGTCCAACCCAGCTAATAACCACAATGACTGGCACAGCAAACTATCTCTATTGGTTCAGTAGTGGTACTTTTCTCTAGGGGTAATCAACAGCCATCTAATTGGACTTAAAGCCCTCTCAATGGGAGGGAACTCATGGGTGGCACTGTAAATATAGCCAAATACACCTGGCTGGAGAGATCATAAATCCTAGGGAAAACCCTATCTCGGTCATATCTCTAGACAAATGAAATTTCTTATTGTATGAAAAATATGGATTCTTATATCTACAAACAAGAATGCCATATACCACTCATCAAAGAAGCTTCTTTTTGCAACAGATGGAGGCTTTTACAGAGTTCCATAACGGGTCACACACAGAGAAGATATGTCTAAGAGATACCCGGCCCTAAGTGACACATCAACAGTGGAACCTCTACACCTAAGGCTCATGGAACATAGCAGAACAGAAAGTAGAATACTAATATATCCCTCAACTCTCACCAGTGAAGCTTCCACATACAACAGAGTGTGATGCACACAATAGGCCACAACAAGGCAAGGTATAGAGAATAAGAGACTGTAAAGTGTGTGTCCCTGGATAGGACTTCCCTATTAAACCTCAACTACCCACAGTTCAGAGACCATTGCAGAAGAGGGGTTAGAAAGATTGTAAGAGCCAGGGTTGGAGCATGAACATAAGGAAACAGGCTTTCAGGCCTCTGGGAACTTGCTCATATGAACTTGCAACAATGGTGACAGCATGCACAAGACCTGTGCCAACTCAGACAAAAACCTAGCATAGAACTGGGGAAATGGGCAGCAGGCCCCAACCTTAGCCAAAGAACTACTACAGCTGATTACTGCTGGGTGAGGGAGAATTGATTTTTAATGGAGTTACTCTAGATAGGCTGACTAGACTCCAGGGGATGAACCTGCACCGAGGGACATCTAAGTACAAATGCTTAACCAGATAAGCCTTAACATATATGACAGAATGCATAAAATTCATTTGAGGGGGTATCAGAGCGTGTAAGTGAGGGAGGTGGTCTAAAGTTAAGAACTATTATATGAAAGGCACAAAAACTCAATATATTTTTAAAAATGTTTAAATAAGTTTATACATTCATTTAGCAGTCTGTAATTTGTATCTATCTCTAAATGCATAGCAGTAGAGAGACAGATCAGAATGTGCTTCAAATGATTCTTGAATTCAAAGGGATTTATGAAATTTCAGCTCTTTTCTCTGGCCCAGCATGTTTTCGTCTGTGGAAAAGTAATCAGGCACAATGAGATCAGTTCAGATTATCTTTTTTTAAAAGACATTAAAATTCTCTATTCGCAAAAGTTCTCAAACTTCTGTTTCAAAAGCAGCAGTTTTCCCGTCCATGCACAAAGACTGTCTTATTAGACGTCTTCTTCAACACTGTGATTAAAGGTAGCACTGGCCGGCATGCAGTGCAGATTTGGAGGCATCCGCCAGGATTCCTCCTGTCCAAGGCTCTGGAATCCAGCAAAGCCACACCTAAGATCCATGACCCCACCACACATTGCCTCCTCAAGGTTGCCACCAGCCTGAGACTTCGGGACAAAAGATTAATATTTCTTATCATTCATCATCCACAAATACTGCAACCATACAACTCCAAGACAGAAAATGAAGTCTGTATAAAGTTAATCTACTTCCTCTTGATAAGGTCAAATGGAGGAATATTAGTCAGCCTTCTCTTGAAGGAATAAAGATAGTATTTTTCTGGCTGCTAACAGGGGAGCAACCCACCCATAAAAGAAATTCATAGGTTTCTAGAACAAAGGTAAAGGAAGTCAAAGAACACTTTCCAGATTATTCTTAAGGTGAGGTCTGAGTAGTAAGTAGCTCATTCCTGCCGTGTATTGAAAAATCTCCCAGAAGACACTGCTATTTGTCCATCTATACCCACATTTCCCTTCTAAACCACACAACATTGATTTTATTCAGAGTGACCCAACTAAAGATAAGTTCCCTCGCCTCCCCTACTGACAGTTATGACCCTACAACTAAATTCTGGCCAATTAGATGTAAGCAGTCATTGGACTTCAGGGTTAAGTCCTTTCAAGAGGCCTGGCCATTTACCATGTTTTCTCTTCTGTCCCCTTTTCCAGAACCTGGAAGTAGACGGTCATATCGGAAGTGCCAACAGCTATCTTGTTTTCAGGATGCAAACCTAGTACTAAATATAACAGTCTCAAAAGAGGAAGGACCTCAGTCCTTGGTAAGTTCAAAGAGAGGCCATGGCAACCACCCTGGACTGCCTACCAGTGGCTTCAAATTGTGAGAGACTAAATCCTCATAAGACAAGCTTACAGAGTTAGGTATACACAACCTCTAACTAATACCGCAGCCTCATTAGCAGAAACCATGCAGGGATACTCAGGGAATGCTGCGATGTCAGGAAAGGAAGTGTGCGCTGCGCATCCTGCCTGCCGCCTTGCCAGGCAGGAGGTCAAGGATGCAAACATCTATAGACTACAGTCAGATGACTAGAAGGAGAACACAAAGTTTGGCAGAAACTGTAAGCAGGAGGTGCCAGGGTGACAAGAATAGAAACACTGCACAGCTTCATTCATTACATCTGACAGGAGATGCATTGTCCACTCCTCCTTTGTACCTCTTCCAGGTTGCAGAACTCCTGACACAGGGTGACCTTCAGACCTGTACAGTCTCTCCCGCATCTCAGAGCTACCAGGCATTCCTTGGTTAAACGTGGGACCTAGTCAGAGGACACAGGTTCTTAGTGGTGAAGTCTGGAAAGTGTTTCCACTCTGACTGAAAATGCAATGAAGCTTCCTAACTCCAATGTAGCAAGTCAGCACTACATGCAGATGATGCCCTAGCCATTTGTGAGGGGGCAACTGGGGCACGCTTCCAGGACCCCGCTTCTCACAGGGGTCCCCGCATCTGGTCAAGCCAGGGGATGTAGCCAGGCTCTCCAGTGCTCCCTGCTTGGTCAGCTGCTCCTAGACTGGGAGGGACTTACTTAGGTGAGATACTTAACTTCTTTAAGCCTCAGTGCTCTTGTCTGAAAAATGGTTCAGGTAACAGTACCTACCTCCAAGGGCAGCCAAGGGAGAGGATAAATAGGGCAGGGTTTGGTCCATCCTAAGTGCTCAATATATGTCAGCTATTAATAGCATTGAGTATGGGGGTGGTGTAAGTATGGGAGGCCAGATGTCCACACTGGGCTTCTTCCTCAGCTACTCTCCACTTATTTTTTTTTAACATTTATTTAATCATTTGTTTATTCTCTCTCTCTCTCTCTCTCTCTCTCTCTCTCTCTCTCTCTCTCTCTCTTTTTTTTTTCTCTCTCTCTCTCTCTCTCTCTCTCTCTCTCTCTCTCTCTGACATGCATGTTGCTGCATACATGTGGAGGTCAGAAGGACAACTTGTGGGAGTCAGTTCTTTCCTTCCACCACATGGGCCTAGGGGATCAAACTTGGGTTGTTAAACTGAGAAGCAGGTGCTTTATTGTTTTGAGACAGAGTCTCTCAGTGAGCCTGATGCTCAAAGATTCAGCTAGATTAGCTAGCCAGCAAGTCCTAAGAACCCTCCTGTCTCTACCTCCCAGTGCTGGGATTACAGGTAGGCACTGCCAAGCTGGCTTTTTATGTGGGTGCTGAGGATCCAAACTCACATCCTCATGCTTGTGCAGCACTTTTACCAGCTGAGCATCTCCCCAGCCCTTCATTGAGCTATTTTTACTTCTTTTCAGAGAGAACTGTCTTAATGTTTCCCTATCACTTTTTCTCTCATTATCAACATCTGTCCACTTTATTCTTCATGTTCTCAGAGAGCTGTCACTCTTGTCCTATTTAAAAGGCAATGCTCTTCTATACATAGTCTCACTCCAATATTGTGTCCCGAGAGCCTGAGAAATGCTCCCTTTAAAGGATCACCAGCTTTCAGTTCTTTCAATAGTCCTCTTTCTAGCCACATGGTCATTATCACATCATAATTACATTTCCCAAGATTGCTAACTAAAAAACGGCAAAGCCTCAACTGTGACTGTCAGTGGTCATATTTGACTCTAATCCCAGGCCAGTTAGTCTGCTAAGGGTCACGTGGTATTAAAGTGAAATGATTTCATGATTTCATGATTTGACTGTAGACTGGGTTGAAGTTAGGGAAGCACATGTAAAGTAACATCAAGTCACGTGGCTCTTTCTAATTGTGTGTACCTTACAAAATAGCTCCAATAACATCTTTTGGCGAGCTCGTTCATATGAGTCGTATGGAAACAGCTTCCTTCCTGGGTAGGTGTCATCCAGGTACTCACAAGCGATGACAGATTCATAGACCAGTTGACACTGGCTGTTCTCTAGGACAGGAATTTGGCCAAAGGGGTGTTTTGTATAGAACCAATCAGGCTTGTTTTTCAGGTTAATGTTGATAACTTCATGTCTTAAAAAGCAAAGGGATGAGAAGAACACAATGAAACACATACACAGGTGGATGCTCATCTTGAAAGCAGAAGCAACTGATTTTAAAATTAACATTTGTAATTACAGTCATTTATTTGATGTTTGAGTTATATGCAGACACATAGCATCTTTGTGTTGATTCCTGAAGTAGGGGGTTAGATGTTTTCTATGGCCTGTCTCATCTGTTTCCATGATTGAATCTCATGCTCAATGTCATCCACTAAGAGGTAGCTGAGGCTTGATGACAGCCAAGCTGACTGACTCCAGATGCTTACACACTCAGCCACATCACTGGGAATTTAGGACAGTTCAAAGCTTGAAAGCACAAATCCAGTGATGCATGGTGACTGATGTCTGTAATCCTAGTATTCCGGAGACAGAGGCAGAAGAATTGTGAGTTTGAGGCCAATCTGGGCTACATAGTAAGACCCAATCTCAAAAACAAACATTAACAACCACAAAAAACCACAAATTTGGGGGCGGGGCTGCTGGAGAGATGGCTCAGCAGTTAAGAGCACTGGCTATTCTTGCAGAAGACCCGGGCTCAAATCCCAGAACCCACGTGGTGGCTAACAATCATCTGTAACTTCAGTTCCAGGGGATCTGATGCCTCCTTCTGGCCGCTGAGGGTACCACATGACATGAGTGCACTTACATACATGTAGGTATAACACTCATACGCATAAAAAAATTAAAATAAAATTGGTATTAAAGGGTCATAACAGACTATGGTGAATGTTAACAGTTAACACAAAGCTTGACATCAAACTGGATAGTCAAGCTGTGATCTGGGCTGAATTTCTTCCCCCTCTGTGCTCAGTGTCCATCACTGATGATCAGTGACTACGTACAATTTTAGGAAGAGTTTCTAGTACATTAGCATGCAATAACTTTTAATTCTTCTTATTAATCACTATTAGAGGTTCAAGCCTATGAAGTCACCAGAAGCATGTGTATACACACACACACACACACACACACACATAAATGTTTAAAAAGATCAAAGGAAGCCGGGCGTGGTGGTGCACGTCTTTAATCCAGCACTTGGGAGGCAGAGGCAGGCGGATCTCTATGAGTTCAAGGCCAGCCTGGTCTGTATAGTGAGTTCCAGGACAGCTGGGGCTACAGGGAGACCCTGTCTCAAAAAGACAAAAAAAAAAAAAAAAAAAAAAAAAAGATGAAAGGAAACACTGAGTACCTTCTCAAAAGCAGTGATTCTCAACTCAGCAAGATGATTTTTTCCCCTCTCCCATACCCAAGGAACATAAGATAGTATATAAAGACATTTTGGTTGTCACTCTGGCAGTGGGATATAATCCTAATGTTAAAGATAAAGGTAGAGGATACTGACAAATAGCCAACAATGCACAAGACAGCCCTTTCCCCCTCCCTAGCAAAGAATTATCTGGCCCCAAATGTCAGGCAGTAGTGTTAAGGTTGGGAAACTCTAGCCCCAAAAAATATTTGTGGGGCTGGAGCTCAGTTGGGAGAATGCTTGCTTAGCTGGTAGAGTACTTGCCTACCATGCAGGAAGCCCTGAGTTTGGTTGCCAACATGACATAAACCAACCATGCTAATACATATCTGAAATTCTAGCACTCTAGAAGTAGAATCAGAGGGATCAAAAATTCAAGGGCCCCCTCAAATATGTAGTGAGTTTGTGGCCAGCCTGGAATACATAAGATCCTGTCTCAAAACAAACAAAAATAACAAAACCAGAAATATTTCATCAGTTCCTAAGCTACCAATTTGTCCCCAAATAGGCAACACATTACATTGCTGTGATTCTTCTAGAATAAAATAAAAATAAGCAATTAACAGCAAACCACAGGGCCAACTCGACATAAGCAAAAGGGAAGAATAGCTATTTCTTTTGAAATGTATCTGTACTGGTCTCTGAAACTCTGAAGCCAACTCCTGTAATGGACCCTCCAAGCCCAGTCAAAGGCTGGGTGACACAGCTCAACACTTCAATTCTGAAAGTCCATATTCCAGCAAAGTTGCCCTTACCTTCCAAATCTAGTCCTGCAGGAGACAGCCCTATAAAAGTCCTTTAGGAAGACTGAGAACCCATTTCTCAGGTATGTTGGAACCTTCCAGACATCTCTTGATAGAAGATTCTTCTATTTAAGTGTTTGGAATGATTTATTCATTCAACAAACATTTTATGAGACACAGTCTTTATATAGCCAAGGCTGGCCTAGAACTTGCTAAACGATGACCATGAATCTCTGATCCCTCTTTCCTCCACCTCCCAAGTGTTACAATTACAGGGGTGCTTCTGCATCCTTGGTTTTATGCAGTGCTGGGGATCCCCACCCAGGGCTTGACACATGCTAAGCAAGCACTCTATCAACAAACACTTTTTGAATGCCTATTACAGGCCAGG